TTCTTTTTTTTTTTAGTGTTTATCAATTTACAAAATACAAAAGAAAACTAACTTTGTGTAACAACCCTCCAGCTCAAAACTAGCATCAATTCTTATTGGTGCACTTCAGGGGTCAGTCAGGGATTCTGGAGGATTTGAAGTCAGGTGTATAATCAGCCATACCAAATTATACCAAACAGGTGCTAGTGCTCATCAGTGTCACCTGTAGGTTGAAAGAGTCATTAACTGGAACAGGAGCAGCTGTGTAGGAGGCTTAAAACTGGTTGGGAAGCAGCCAAACTCTGCTGCCGAAGTTCAGTATTCAGTGAAACCACAGTAATTAGATTTTTTTTGTTTAGATATTTTGCAAAAGTTACAAATAAAAAGATACAATTTATGATTTTTTTTTATTTCCTCCATGTTTTTCTTTTTTTTTTTTTAATTTTCTTTCTATTTTTTTTCAGGGCAATAATGACTTGTGTACAATGGTGTATCAGTGGACTTTTCTCTCCTAGTCTTGACAACTATTGTCTAAACCTCAGTATCGGCGGCCAACCCATTCTTGGTCATTGTATTTGCTGGTTACAGCTTGAGCTTTGGATATTGCAAATACTCAAAAAAAAATACTTTTTTTATTTCTCGTAGCATTTTTACACAAACGTCTCAAGTGAAGCCAAGATCACTTGGCAGTTTTTTTATCTGCTGTTCAGTTCCAACAGGAAGGCACTTTCCGTTCGGTCGAATGTTTGCAGTCTGTTCTCTGTGTGGGCACAAACACACACGCACACAAACAGTGTGTCGGTGGGTGCGAGGATAACAAAGTGATGACAAAACGGGACTGTTGATCTGTTTGTTCAGCGTGTGAAGCGCAGCGCTTTCTGTGAACTCCTGCATTCTCTTTGTGTATCTGTGTGTCCACTGTTGATCCCATTAACTGAATAAACCGTCCAGTATGACTTTGGTGTCAGAGGCGCTTCTGCCTGGAACAGAAAGCCCCACATCCTTCGGCGTGACACTGCTATGCAAAAGACCAAATAATTAAAAGAATGCTAATGCTAACACACCTTAAGCTAATTTAGCTAAGAATCTTTTAACGTCATCAAATCACAGCAAGCTTATCTGAAAGATTTTTGCGAGAATCTTTTAACGCCATCAAATCACAGCAAGCTTATCTGAAAGTTTGTGTAGAACTTCTCTTGACGTCATCAAATAATAAAAAAAACATGAATGGTCACTTTTTGGCTATTTTTTTTAGAAAGTTTTTCCAGAATTGAAACAAGCAAAAAAGACAATATAGCTATAGGTTTTGAAGCAGCGACTGACAATGTTCCTCCTCACCGAACACACAGAACCCTTTCATGTACCTTTGCCTTTTAGCAAAGCCCCAGGGCAGTGGAGGTTTCCCAATTTGGATCCTATTAAGAACAAGACGACTGTAGGCAGAGGGGGGGCACTGCATGCGAGTGTGTGTGTGCAAGTGTGTGTTCTGTGCAAGGGTTGAATAGAATTGATCTGGAGCTGCTTCAGTGAGAAAGCAATCGATATTTATGACCTGACATCTGGTTCTGATCAAATACAGCGATGTGTGGGGTTTTTATAAATGAATGAAATGAGTAGAGTCAAGGTGAGGGTGAAGATGTGTATCTCCTGCTTGATGATCGATTCGAGTAAAAATTACATATTGAAGGAAAAATATATATTTATATTTCATTTACATGGATCAGCTTGTGGGTTGTCGTGGAAACTGACAGTGACTCTGCTGTGGCAATAGTATCATCTCCTGCACAGCAGGTTTAGATATAAATAAAACAGCACAACCAATGGCAGGTGTTATTGACCATTTTCAAAAGAGTGCACAACATCACAGTCTTTGTGGCAATAGAGTTACTTAAGGTTCCTTAAACACGTTACAGATTTCTCAGCGAATCGAAGCCTTACTCCTTCATAGTTATATTTAGGCTGCAGCAGCATATGGTCCTATTACTACTACTGTACTACTACTGTACCAGCCGTAATGCTAAGTGCTGCTGATCTAACCACCTTGACGTTGTATGGTCCCTGCTGCATTCTCAATCAGCTGTTCCCACAGATACACTGGGAGAATTTTGTATTTTATTTCAGTGTCTGGAAGAAAACCCAGCAGCAGCAGACACATTTTCATGTTTTTTTTTTTTGTTTGTTTTTTTTTTTTTGTCCAGGGAGACCGAGTCATTATAAACTGAAATGGCACAACACAATTACATTAAATCACAACAAGGTTGAAAATGTCAAGTACTTGAAGCCAAAGCAGTGGCACGTTGGATGGATCTGGTTGTTAGAGTGAAATAAAATATATCATTAAACCTGGTTGGTCGGGGCTACGGTATATGATTTAAAAGAGAGCAATGACCGTAAAATTACACTGAACTTTTATTAATAAAATATATACCAGCAGCAGCAGTGGTGGAATCACAGAGTCCTCTGCTCTTGATCTACAGGTCTGTTTTATTGTGATAACTGTTTTGTACCTTTTTTGTTATCAAGTTCCTTTAACATTTAACATTATTCTTTTTAATAGAGCTTTCAGACATGATAAAGTCAAAACCATTATAGAGCTGTAAAACAAATAGTAAGCTATAACAGTCATACTGAACATGAGCTAAGGGAACTCGAATACATCGACTCACTTTCAGTTTGTCTCAGATTCCCAGGCATGGTTTCATATCTTTCTTCAAGCACAAATCATTTTTCTTCTTTCTTTGCTTTTTTTATTTATTTCCTGTGGTACTGTATGGTTGAATGCACGCGCTATTCAGTGAAGTTTCGTTTTATAAATTGGTCAGAGAAAATACAGCTCCGCTCCCAAAACTTCCCAAGAGGAGCATGAATATCTCTCTTAAAATCTGTAATAAAAACATGGTGCTAGTATCTAAAACAGAAACAAGCATTCTCTAATCTGACCATTGCTGTGACTCTTTCTTCAAAATTTGCTGTCAAAGCACGAGGTCCCCACAACGTTGCTTTACAAATTGTGTCCCCACAATTATAGCTAAACAAAGCTATGCACACGCACACTGTGTTTGCACACCGTGTCATACCTTCTTACCCTAACCATAGAAATTACATGACTAATCTTACCCTGTAATTGAGCAGTAGTTCTAATCCTAACTACAAACTAAATTTACTAACAAAATGTGCTGGCACGGCAAAAGATCCCCACAAGTATGGTTGAACAAGGATAGACACACACTCATTGAGTTTAATGTTGTCTTTTACATGGAAAAATATAGCATCAAAATCATTTGCAAGCAGTAAGCAATCCTTTGGCCACACACACACACACACACAGTGCCAGGTGTGACTCCAATCAGTTACATTTCACATCAACTGCTATGTGGCCTGTGTCTTTCTGCACACACAGATGGAGGTACATTTATAGGATATAGGTGACAGGCAGGCAGGAAAACCTCCAATCCAATGGGACGTTGTGAATAATCGCAAGGGAAAATAAAACACGGTCTTATTAGACGCAGCTGTGGCGTGTTGACGATTCCACCGGTTTTACCCTAGGACTCTAGTAGAAAGTAGTGCAACACAGGGAGACAACGAGGAACTAAAGGTAAGCAAAATAAAGCGCTGCAGTTGTTTACCAAGGTGATTTTACCTTCCGTGAATTTCCCATAGGGATGAGTGCAGGCAGAGAAGAACGAGGGCAGAGCTACTCACCTTGGGAAATACCAAGATAGAAGTTGATGACGGGACGAGTCAAGAAATATGTCTAATCGGGGGAATGAAGATTTCTCCGTGGCTCCGAGGGATGTGTACGTGTGAGAAAACTGTCTCATGAATCCCAGCTCTTTTGGGAAATAAGGACAATGAGGTGTCTGCCACAGGCAGCACAGCAGGGAAATACACAATAATAGTACATGTGTCACCACAGCTATTCCCATGTAATGGTACACAGCAGAGTAGAAGAGAGATTTGGTAAGTCTGGATTTCTTTAACGTTACTGATACAGTCCAGACGTGAATGTAGACTGAGTGAAAACCAGGGAATTTCTACTAACGAGTATGGAAATAAGAATTAAAAGGGAAAAATAGGAAAGTAGGAAAGTGAACTACTTGTCATTGTGACACAACACACCACTGCACACACAACCAAATGTGACCTCTGTTTTTCACCCATCACCAAAGTGAACAGTGGGCAGCTTTAAGCACCGGGGAGCAGTGAGTGGGGACGGAGCCATGCTCAGAGCACCTCAGTGGCAGCTGGTGGACTTGAACCTGAAGCCTTCCGGACCCAAGTCCGCTTCCTTCCTTTCCACTAAGCCACTACTGCCCCCTAGATTTAGTGATAGAGAACGTAAGAGATGTAAATATAATTGTTTTTGTCCTAAATAAATTGGACAACTTTTTTTTTTGTAACAATCTGCACTGTTAGTATACAGTCCACATATGGGCACAAATATCTGCAAATGAGAATGTGTTACAGATCTGACCTGAGCAAGGTTGCAGCCAAACTCTGGTTCTGGTGTGAGAGATTTCAAATGGAAACCAGTGTGAATGAAAGGATTAATAAATTGAATTAAATGTTGGAAAGCCTTCGTAGTTCATTTAACTGTGTGTGTGTTTGCAGTTATTATAATGCACTTTTGCTGTAGTGTCATTTGAAGTATATAGTTGGAAGTTTGAAATTGCGGCATTTTTTTAGGGGTTGTCTGACCCCTAAAAATAACACTCTGCTGCTTATTATACTTTACATTTCACAAACTTGTGAAACACACACAGGAGATGAATGTGGGGCAAAGAAAAGTTGGGATTCAGAAATTCTGAATAATGTGTGCTTTATTACTTTGTTACCAAGAAAATACTGTTATCAACAATTTTACGCACAATTACAGAAAACAACATACGGCCCGTGGGCCAAAATCGGCTCGCTACAGACTTCAACCAGGCCCCCTTGACTCTGTCAGGCTGACTTCTGTGATATCATTCTTAAAATGAACTGATCACAACTGTTTTTGTGTTTTGCACGTTTTTTAGGATGATCCCATCCACCAGCAATGACTTCCTGGTTCGGGACCTCGCAGCTGGACGTAGTTACGATCTCTGTGTCCTGGCCGTGTTTGATGATGTCGTCACATCCCTGACTGCAACGCGTCCCCTGGGCTGCCTGTCGTTCACCACGGACGCAGAGTTCAGCCAGTGCCAAGCACTGCACAGCCACTTCCTGGGAGGAACTATGATTATCATCATCGGGGGGATTATAGTCGCTTCTGTGCTGGTTTTCATCATCATCCTAATGATACGGTACAAGGTGTACAGCCACCACGGAGCAGGCCACGGGAAAGCTGCCATTGCAGCGGGTGTGCCGAGACCACAGAGTAACGGACAGGGCGGCAGCGCACAAGTCCAAGTCCTCCCTCGGTCAGCTTCGAAACTGAGTCAGGAGGAGTCTGGAGCGATGGCATCTTCTCGAGCCATGTCGCCTAGCAACACTATGAGAGACACTGTGGCCCTGGTCGAGGAGGAGGGCAGTGGACGTAGCAAAACCAAAAGAACTGACCCTCTGGCCAGTGAGGAGATGCTCTCGCCCACAAAAGTTTGTTTCTCCTCCAGGGTCGCCATTGAGATGAAGAGCAGGCCGCCATCTGTCACCAAAGAGCCCACGTCCCCCAAGGAACTGGCAGGTAAACAAGGAGGGGGAGCCGTAGAGATATTGAGGAAGGAACGAGGGGAGGAAGGAGAGAGGCTGAGCAAATTAAGTTAATCGAAAAGTGATTTAAGAATATACACAGCGTCAGAGCGGGAGATAATGAGAAAGTCAGTGGGAACAAAAGGTTGAAGGAAACAGAGATGCCACTTCCTTTGGTGTGTTCGAACATTAACAAGTATTTCATCAGGTGTAGAATTAGCATAAGACATCATTTGTCTTGGTTATTCAAGTCCGCTGCAGCTTTGTTGTTTCACAGACTGGAATGTCGGCGCTGATAGGTTGAAGACTCTACCTCTCTCTGAAAGATTTTTGCTTGGAGTAAAAGTATGCCGATAATGGTGGTGGGGGGACGACGACAGGAAAATGTTGGGTTAGAAAAGCATCTGCGACAACAGTGGTAAGGTCGACCTGTGACTAGACCAGGCGCGGGCAAACCTTTTAACTCGCGGGCCACAATTGTCCTAAAATTGAACATGAGGGCCGAGTCAGGGGCTTTCGTGTAGTCTAAAGGGGTATTGTCCAAAATACAGCAGACATTTGTTTCCGTTTTTTTACTGCGCGGATGAAGTCAATGCTAACTCTGTGTTTTCAGCTTTTATCCATGGCACTTAGGCAAAACAAATCAAAGCTCTCTCCGTCTTTCACTCTGCATAAACAGTCCCCTTAAATAAATCATGAATTCAAATGAACAAACTCCAACAGTTAAATGAACGCCCCTCCAGTAAAACGTAGATTGAATCTTGTTGTAATAAATAAAGTGTGACGGCAGAAACACTTACAAGTTTATAAACCTACACTGGAAGTATTTTTAAATTTCTCCTTTTACTTTTCACTTTGCATTAATCATGACCTGCTGCATGCTGATGTTTTTTTGTCTCCAAAAAGTCTCTGTGGGTTGGCATTTAAAGAAAGAGAGGGACGCGATAATTAGAGTGGGATCACGCTACGCTAACATTAGTCATATTAGCATTCCTGGTGAGTTTTCTGTTCAAGTGCTGCAAAGTAGACTTGGAGAACTTTTAAGAAAGCCTGTCTGCCATTAAATGTGACTGTAGGTACATAGAAAAACACATTCCAGTGCAGAGGAGAGAACAAACCAACTATTCATGTGTATAAAATATAGAAAAAACACAGTGAGTTTCTTTTAAAGTCATCATTCCCTGGATGAAATCCTATATATATATATTTAGCGACTACAGTATGCGTGTCGTATTTGCATGCCTGTAGGGGGCTCTTTCTGTAAATCCAGGCCAATTCCTTTAGATCCAGTGGGAGTCTTTTGAAATTACCTCAGGGCTACATCACAGAATACTCTATACAGTGCATACATATAGTTTTAATTTTCATTTGAGATAGAAAAAAAAACTAAAACATTCAATCATTACTAAAGTAGTGTTGGAAAGAGGATTAAATCGGCAAAAGATAAAACTACAGTTAAGTGAAAGAGGATTAACTCGGCAAAAGATAAAACTACAGTTAAGTTACAGTTACCATGGCAGTGAACAGTGCAAACGATTTGACAGCTTAATGCACCAAACACACACACACACAAAAACATTTTACAAACAAACGCTAAAGCTAATGCTTTTTCTACTTTCCAAACTCAAATGACTACAGTCTCACTGTATCACCTGATTTCTTTACCTTTGCAGCGTTCTTTTCTAACTTTTTTTTTAACCATTCCTTTTATTGCTTTTATTACTACGATTATGAAAAGAAGCATGTGTCAGTGCATTTGTGGGAGGACGTTCTGAAACAGAGCTCAAAGGGCTTCAGTAGAAATTGCTTTTTTAATAATTTTTTCCCCTCCTTTAATCCTTTTAAGGACTGCAGGAATCGGCGTTACAAACTCGACAGTTCAAAAAAACCAATTACACTCACATTCGAACCTGTGGCCAATTTAGATATGAACAAATGAACTAAATCTGCATTTTATTTATTTTCTTTTGGTTTGTGGGCCTTAACTACATGTACATTCCATAAAAAATCACCATGGATCGAAGTAGAAAACTTTTTTTTGTGTTGTATGTAGAGCAAAAACACTAGCCTTTCTAAAACGATTATTATTCTATAACTACTTCTTATTCAGTCCAATCAGGACACTAGAATGAAAACACTGGCTGCTCTGGAGGAATACCATATTTTCCGGACTATAAGTCGCACCAGCCGAAAAACGCATAATGAAGAAAAAAGAAATATAGAAATCACTCCGGAGTATAAGTCGCACCAGCCAGCTAGAGTGCCCTCTAGCAGCTGTCAGTGTGATAATAACAAACATGTGAAATTATATATTTTAATATATATAAGTTACACCTGAGTATAGGTTGCAAACTCAGCCAAAGGATGAAAAGAAGTACCATTTATAGTCTGGAAAATACAGTACTACCATGGTATATGGAATACCTAAATTATATACTTATTGACAGCACATATATAAACTCAAGCTTTTTTTTTTTTTTTTAAGTTGAAACTGATTTTATTGTAGTTTAGATATCACTGGTTGTTTTTTTGTTTTGTTTTTTTCTTTCCATGCTGATGGATGGTCTTTCAATTGATCTCTCAGGATGTAGGAGGTCCTGAGAGAACTGGCTCTGTGTTTCCCTGATTGCTGCATTGCAGAAAAAAGCGACATTGATCTGATCAGGGAGGGAGCTGCAGTGAGCGGGAATACTGTAGGTGTAGGAATCAGCTGGCAAGGAGAAGAAGAAAGGATAACAGTTCTCATCAGACTCATCTAGGAATTGGAGATTGGAAAATGTGATCATTTTTCCTTTTGTGTTGATAGACATTTACAGTTGGATTTTTCAGGCAAAGACAGATATCACCCTCTCAGAAGTTGTTTGATTCTAATATATACAACTTTGTAATTGAAGGAGGGTTTCAAACAGACGTTGGTGAAATAAATGTTTTATCATGTTCTTCTTTTTAAGTGTTGAGCTGTGCTACTGTTAACGGGATCAGTCGTTTTTGCATCGATTAAAAATGAACCATTTTTAAATCATAGCAAGCATCAAAGTTTGGAAACACTGAAATGATTCAAAGACCATTTGAAAGAAACGTAGGGCAGTTTGTTACTCGATGCAAGACGTAAAGAAAAGAAATCTACCAATTATCTGATAGAAAGAAGGGATTTTCAGATAGAACCAAGAGAACCCAAGTATCGATTTAAGACCCTCCCGTTATTTCTCACTGGTTTCAGCTCAGTTTTCAGCACCAACCTTAGCAGCAGGAAACTCCCACGTTCATATTCTTGATGTATAAAGAGAGAAGTGTGACTGTTGCACCCCTGCAGGGTTCTAGTAAAGTGGAACGACTTGGACAAAAATAGAGACGATGTCTTTGCTTCTCTCTGGACTCTGTGTGGTGTTGTGTGCCCTGGAAGAAGACCTGTGTACCTTATTTACTGTGTTGAATTACATTGAAGGGTGACCTTTTGACACTGGTGGTCTCACCTTGGGGTTTGAGGCCAAATGTGTGACAGAAGGACATGCAAGCGGATACTGCACTGTTGGACTGGGATGCTATGGGGTATTGTGTTGCAGGATTATTGGCAGTTAATCCAGGTTATGTACACATTGATTTGATGTCAAGAAGTGCATAATAATTTATCAATGATTTCTACAAAGACATTGATTTATGTTATTACTTAACATCAGTGATTATCAATTGGCGACACACGGATTCCAAAAATAAGCACCAAATAATAATGTTGGGAAAAAAAGTGATTTTTATTCCATCTTATCTGCCCCTCCGACAAATATAGTTGACGACCCTTGACCCCTTATTTAACTACAGTATGAATTCTCAGGACTCAGACAGGGTGTAATCCTATTGTAGGCTTCTAAAATACAAAGTATATATTTTTGTCCGGTTTGGTGTCCACTGTGTAACCACCTTGGCTGAATGCAAATGTACCTTTAAGATGACACGGGGCAGGACACCAGTGTGTCACTCCTGTGATAAGTGCACAAACAGTTTGTTCTCCCAGCAGCCCGTTCATGACCCCGAGCAAATCCACTGAGTCTCTAATCTGTCATCGGTCTCTTCACTGACAGCCCGTTCATCCGGCCTGAATCGTAGTCACCGCGGTCCAACTGATTTCATTTCCTGGATCTTCTCTCCTTCACATCCATACTTGTTTTGTCTGGTCTTCGGTTTTTACTTGAACAGAAATTTGTTTGCTCTTTTCAATTGTTTCTCACCACAACTCATCATTTTTCTCTCTGTCCCTCTGTCTCTCTCTCTGTCTGTCTCATTCTTTGTCCTCCTTCACGTCTTGCTTCTCTATGTTTCTGTATTTCTTGTGTACGTCCACAGCAGACAAGAGACGGCCCCGTAGTGTCCAGCGGAGAGACGTTAACATCTGATGATCTATTGGCCAAAGTAATTCCTCCACAACAAACACAGAGTAAACATGACCTTTAAACCTCGTCCACCTTTAGTTTTCCCTTGTAGTGACCCCAGTGTCCCACCCTTGACCCTGCGTCTCCTTTATATTCCCATTCCTGTGATTTCATTTTAATGAAGCATGCGGCCGAACAGTAAAAATAATACGTCATACAAAAGATGTAGATTAGGAGTAACTAATACGTCATTAGAGCTCCGGTCTAAATGTTGAATTTTTCATTCTGTTTCGTAGACTTTTTTGCAACCTGGTGATATACAGTTTGCCTTTGAGAGTCAACTTATTTCTGCATGGACTCACTGAGATACAGTGTAGTTCGACCAACATTTTTCTACTCTGTAGAATTCTGGGGGATGTTTTGCCGCCTTTTCACCACCTGCTCCACTGGCTCAGAAATCAAGTTTTAAAACTTGCGTTTGGTTTTTGAAAAAGTACAAAGAATAAAATACTATCATAACAATGTAAAAAAATGATGGAAATACTCCAGAGGGACTTGTATGTTTTTTTTCCTCATTATGCATTTTTTGGTTGGTGCGACCTATACTCAGGAAATATGGTATATACTGTATATATACATTATATATACACATATGTAACAACACTGAGTACTAGGCCAGAGTGAGAAAAGGTTGAGCTTGGTGCAGCAGAGCAAAAAACAAACTCAAATCAAAAGTTTTCGTCAGCCAAAAAAACCCTCCCCCAAAAACCATGAATTATTAACACTCTTACCCATAGGTGTCAGTAATATTTAATGCACCAGTTTGTCCTACTCACTAATGTAATTCGATATTCTATATACTCCCTTCTTGTGGTCGATTGTTATTCAAAACAATTTCAAATGATTGCTTTATAGTGTTGATGTGTCGCTCGTTTCTTTTACGACAGAACTCTAATTTAGTTCCTCGTCACCCGCTTTTCACCCTTTGACTCCGCAGCCAAGTCTTTCATCTACCTCCCGTCTCGTTCTTATTCCCAGGTTGTTGTTTTTGTGTTTTGTTTTTGACACTGGTATCTGCTCTTTTTCCCTCTCTGCCATCCTTTTATCTGTTCGCTCCTCGTTTTCAATGAACAGCGTTTTGACGCTCATCCCCTCTCATTTATTTTCCCGCCTCTCCTTTTCTGCAGACACATCGACTATATATATATGTTTTCCTTTTTTTCCACCCCTACGTGCTTTCTATCATCAGTTCTTACCGCCGTTCCAAATAGCCCTCCATCTCCTGCATCTCATTTATCTTCAGCGTGTAAGTGTGATGGAGATGAAAAGAGAAGATAGGTGGAGGATGATGGAGGAGAAGACATTGGGGAGGTGTAGTGTTTGTGATGGATTTTTTTTTTCCCTTTACATGCTGAGGCATTAAACAGAGTGTGTCATTTTTAAAACCAGCACCACACGCTCTGACCGTACATTGAGGCTGTTCGAAAAACCTTTCTTTCACAAAGACAGGTGGAAAAATGCCCTCGTGACAAAGATTAAAAAATTAACTTCTGGAGCCAATACACTGTCACTACTACTGATTTTTTTTTTTTTTCCTCAGTTTCATTTTCTCTGTCAGTAGATTCTGCCATCAAAGTCATAGATTAGATTACATGTCCAAATGTGACAAAGTAATAAAGAGCTTGAGTAAAATCCATCTATCTCTAACACACATATAAAGCCTGCATTTATTTATTTATTAAAATGTCGCATTTTGATTTTGCATTAACAAAGATGATGTTTATTTACACGTCTTTTTAGTGTGGAAAAAATCCCACTTAAAAGTCACTCCAATCTGTTATCAACGTTTTTTCATCCCACACAATCCTCTTGTGGCAGCTCACGCACCCTCAGGGGGCCGTGCGCCATACTTTGGGAATCCCTGGTCTAATTACAAAGGTATCCTGGCGAAAAAAAAAAAAAACCTCTAATTACAAAAGTATCCTGGCGAAAAAAAAACTCACATAAACTTACAATCTTTAATGAGCATGAAAAGACGTTAACAGTGATCAAACTGAATCATTACCGCTATCTTTTGTTCCGTTTGCCATTGGGAAGCAGTGATTTTCTTTAAATAAAACCAAACAAAAAAAAAAAACAGAGCACTTTGTTCATAGCAGAAGATATAAATACAAACCAAAATTCTCCAAAGAGAGTTGTGATAAATCTAACCCTGGGACGGGATACAAATTCAGCCCTCGCTAATTTGTTGTTTGCAACAAAACAACCAAAATAAAGTGTTGAGTTTTTCCCTCCCACATTTAAAGCTTTTGTAATACTGCAGAGTATTGTAAATCCCATTCTGTTATGTATCGTTTTTTTTTTTTTTAGGATCCTTGAGTTTTTCTCCTTCCTTTCCCTCATGTACATATTAGAACATAGTTTTCTAAATGAAACACTGCATGGTTGTTTACCTAAAGGTCAAAGTACTACGGTATAGAAAAAAAAAAAGGATTTCTATGAACTATATTTAAACCTGTGCATTCATGCTTTTTTCTTTTCAGAGCCCTGATGACGTTGTTCTGGGAGATGGCAGATGTGGAGTATGGACGTCATCACCGTTGAAAGCTGGTGAAGAACAAAAAAAAATAAAAATAAAAAATAATAATAAAAACGCTCCATTAGCTCCTCTGTCCTCTACCCCCATTAACTGTGACCATTACTTGGTGTCCATATATATCACAGGGCGGTAGAAACTGTACTGACTGATTTATTTTACGCCGCTCCTGCTTTTTACGTCTCTCCTGAATGACGGACTGTGTCAAGACCCCGTTGTCAGTTGGCAGCCGATTTGCCAGTTGCTGCAGAAATGAGGCTGGCAGCCCGATCACCTGCATCACTTACTGACTCACAGAGAGGTGCTCATAAATGTTGCATTTACCACTCTGCGTTTTATGGATACGCCCGGGAAAATGCATACAGTGTGCGTAGATAACATTAAAGGGTGAATGAGTTAAGCCCTGTCCCTTGAATGGAAATAAAATGTCCAGTCGGAGCCTCGGCGTGTTTGGACCCAGGCGAGTGGGTGGCAGAATAACAGTGTGTGAAAAACATTGGATGCACTGATAATCACGCACATGGATTCTCTGAATATACTATGTTACACTGCACAAGCAGAAATGGAATAAATTCATAACAACAAAAAAAAAAAAAAGAAAGTATGTGAATGAGTGATGATTTTGGATATAAACCTCTTAAGTAACAGCTTATCTCATGTGTTGGCCCGTTTGTGGATTTCTTTTTGCCGAGTTGATCACGTCACTGAGCCAAACCGGAGCTGCATCTGGACCTTAACTGGACACTTGACAGATCTCACAAGCCTTTGGGAAACACATGCACTAAGGAACAGGATTGGCTTGAAAGGCCAGAACTGAAAAGCCTGGATTTGGTGGAGCCGGATGTGATGTTCTTGACTGTGGAGTAGTGTGAAGCACACGTGTGTGGACTAGAAAAGAGAACAACCTGAACCCTGTTTTCACCCAGAGCCCTTTTCCCCTGCGGTCCCACACCTACTGGTTTCCATTGAGGCTGACAAGGAAGAATCTGGAGGACCTTTTCCAGCCTCTTAGGTAAGAAATGTACTGATTGGTAAATTAACCTAATTAAAGAAGCATTAAGTGGGGAAGTTTCTACTTCCTAAAAGACATGGGCTCATTAATTAGTTTGGCATGCGGAGTAGAGGGAGTCACCCCAGCTAGCTGTAACTTCCAGTCGTCTGTAGTCCAAAGAACACTTTCTGTTTGCATCGTCTCCTCCTTCAGTCGTGCGTGACCTTAACGAGCGCCCCTCTCTAATTGCTGTCAGGTAGATTATTAGAGAGGCGTCCTGGCTAAACAACCTGCCGCTGTTGCTGCACTCCACTGAAAAAAAAAAATATCACAACAGCTCATGGGAAATTTATTCTCACCTCCTCCTGTTTGTTACTTTTTATTTGCCTGAAACACTTTTTTTATCTTCTTCTCACCTTCTCTTCGACTTTAATCCCTACCACCTCTGTCCATCAGAAATCTGGTCTTTCTTACGTGTCAGCCCAAGGCTAGATTTGATGCTTAAGAAAAATGTAATACCCTCAAAGATAATATGGTTGTGAGCCCCCACGGCAGCCACAGGGATGGACTTTATCTGTACAATGGGAGGTCTGATGTCCAGGGTTTTTTTTTTCCTGGATAGAGAGCTGTGAGGCTGTTAAGGTTTCTGAAACAAATACAGGGGGTCCTTGAACGACATGGGAATTTCATTCCTACTGCACAACACAAGTCGATTTCTGCCAGCGGGTGGAACACACACAATATGGACCTTTACCAAGTACCTTTATCACTCATTGACGTTAACACAGTGGTAACATCATAATCTAGGACAGGGGTGTCAGACTCATTTTCGCCAGGGGGCCACATCAGCAACACCGCTCCTCTTGAAGGGCCAGTTGTAACTGTAATGCAGTGTAGATGCAACTACTCCATAACCTATTAATAAATGTTCCTGTAATTTATAATTATTTCGTCAAGTTACAAAAATGGTTTATTGCTGTGTACTCAAAAACAATTATCAGGTGGTGTAAACACAAAACGCCGCAAATCGGGGACCTAGCTTTGTGTATGCAGTTGATCTGCATTTCCTGTAGGGGCAGTGTTTTACTGCGTAGGAATTATTAATTACTTTTACATTTAAATTAAATTGCATTTACTGTACAGTATATGTGCTGTCATCGAAGAAGTCATTTTTTTTATGTACAATTCACTTCTAATGTTGAGCGATCTCAGATACTCGTTTCTTCAGTTCAATAGACATATGAACAGTCCTATTATTTGGCCTGGATAATGGTAAAAAAAACACACAGTTATCTGCACATTTAATGTGGCTGGTATCAACTAAGGGACACAGATGAGAAAGTAGAGTTTCAGGCAGTCAGTTAGAAATACAGACGTCTCTTGGATGAAGGTGGAAGCCCTTCTAGAAACTAAAACAGTCAAGTTGTACCTCTTCACCAACTAAGAGACTGAATACAAGGATTAAAGTTAGGAAAATAAAAACTCTTTTATCAGATCATCTAAAAAGCCCAAATTTGCCTGATTTTTTTTAAAATGTAGTTACTGATCATTTTTCTGTAGGGGCTTTTGGGGGTAAACTTTCAGAAACCAAACCCGTCCAGCTGCCTACATCTGACCTTTGTTGAACTAGAAACTGCCTACATCTGACCTTTGTTGAACTATGATCTCATTTCTCTCAGAGGTGAGAAGAGCGACACATACAGTATGTCGACAAAGTTAAACACAAAGTGTGTGTTCTTTTATGTATTATTCATACCAGCATATTTATTTTCTGTCTTCACATCCCACTCTCTCCTCTGCTAACACCGGGCCTATTCTCTCTCTCTCTCTCTCTCTCTCCTCCCGTCCTATTCTGTTCCAGTATCTATATTTTTACATCTTTGCTTTCCTCCTCCTACCCTCTTCTCCTGTAAATCCCCCTGTTCGCTTCCTATTCATTAGACTGCTTATCTTGTGTTACTTGTATGGCAACAGAGCACTGAAGACATTTTTTTCCTCAATACACGCCAGAATCTGTACTTGAATGTGACAAACCCGACGCCATAAAAAGACCCTTTGTCTGGGAAGAGAGCGTGAATATGGGGTAACGACTTATTTTAATACAATGTTGAATCATATTTTCAAGAAAAGGAAAAGTATAATGTGTTAATCACTATTATATCAATGTAATAGCACGCCCGTCCCCCAACAGATCAGAGGAAAAGCAGGAATTCGGTGTGTTTGAGGGAGAGAAAAAAAAGTGCCTTTTCTCTCCTGCACATTTGCAGTGAGAGTCAGTCAACCTTAAGATGTCGGAGTGAGTCGGACAGATGGGGGGTGGGGGGAGCAACATAAAGCTGGACGAGGGATGATGATGGGAAAGTTTGAAAATGTAACTGTGGTATGAATATCAAAGACAAGTATCATAAATTGACAATATTATTTAAGCATAACACTTAAGCATCCAAACAAACACCAAAAAGCAAAGATGTACGTAATTTACGTAAATATATATAGATATACATATCTATATATATCTATATATATAGATATGTATATCTGTATTTATGGGGGCTAAAGTTGAGAGAAAGGGTTCTCGCTGCACCATGGGAGTTTCCTCAGCAGTCTAGACCTGACCTGCTACCTCTTTAGTCTTCTGCGGACCAGGGTGTCACAGCTAAGCTGCAGCCGGACCGCAGCTGAGACGCAGCCGGCGGAATATCTCTCACTGACTATAATGGCAGCTAAATGCAGCAACCGCCAAGCCGCCTTAACGCATCCAGAGGAATATGGGTGTAAGCCTTCGCTAACTAAGCCAACACTCCCTATATACTGTCAGAGAAAAACATTGCCTCTCCTTGAGTGGTCAATGTTAAACAATGTTAATTTTAAATATTAAAAAAAAAGTTCATTTATATACCTACTTAAATACATGCTAATTCGTTAACACGCTAATACTTGTTTTTTTTTTACTGTGTGGCCTTGAACAGAACATGCTTTTGAAGAGCATGTTATTAGCCGGCAACTAAATGACTAATAACCAGTGGATATATACAGGTTACTCGTTCACCATTAGACTTGCAGTGCATCCACCACCGCTTCCACATGATTCCCTCTCCAGTTCCCTCTCACCACAGGGGCTGTTCACCTTGTCGTCTTGCATCACCACAGGTCAAACAACAACCTGGCGCACACGTTCACACTTTCACACAGTTATAAGCAGAAGAGTGGGAGAGTGAGCCTTTTTTTTCTCTCTTTAGAGGCTCTGCATGGGTTCGATTCCCATTTTTTGTTTGAATCTTCTTTTTTCCCCCACCCAGCAGGGGATTCATGTGTAATGAGTTCAGGATCCAGCTGTGATCTCTATGAAAACTCAGGCTGATTTTTATGACAGATATATTATTCATATGTAATGCGCATGTGTCTGAGACATGTTTGGGAGGACGGTTATGTTGCAGTAATGTATTCAGGCCCATGTCTTGAAACATCGGCGCAGCATCTGCCTCCAGAAGTGACATGCAGCTTAAATCGAAGCCACGTCTTGGCCCATCATCCCCACATGCAGGGGATGTGCTCGCACTGTACCTTTCTGCCATTTCATTCCCATTTACAGCCTCTCTAAAACATAAACCCGACGGTTGCTCGGAGGAAACCATAAATGTGGCTGCAAAGAGGTCACAGGTAGAAGATGTTACAGTTAACATCTGCAGTAATACTCTGAGGAGACATAATGCAGTACAAAAAAACACAGATCCAATTCACACAATCCCCAGAAAGGGTTTCTTCTAAATGGATCTACGACGCTGAAAGACATTAAGATTTCATTTGTTTTCTATGGGCCTGCTGCTGGCAAAACAACTGAGGAAATGTATGCACGTATATTGGTAACGAAATAGAACTGTTCTTTTGGTTACTTTTTAGTGGCTTCAATCTAAATTCAAAATTCTGGGTTATATATTGGGTATATGCAGTAAAAAAAGTAATAAGGATTATCTTGATAGTCTGGTTTAGCCCAGTTGGGAGGACACGGTTTTTTACCTTTGAAATAGAGGACATTTTGAGGTTCAAGATTTACTTTGGATTTATGATAAGAAGTATGTTGACGTTAGGGTTGGGGTTATGTTTTGGGAGGGTTAAGTAAAAAGTAAAAGGGGAAAGTAGTTAATTGTTATGTATATTCCCACATACAACGTTACAAGGGGCAGAGGTGGTGAAGGTGCAGGAGTTCAGGTACTTAGGATCAACTGTTCAGAGCAGAGGAGACGGTGGAAGAGAGGTGAAGAATAGAGTACAGGCAGGATGGAACAGCTGGAGAAAAGTGTCAGGAGTGATCTGTGACAGAAGAGTGTCAGCTAAGGTGAAGGGAAAGGTTTACAGGACGGTGGTGAGACCAGCCATGATGTATGGTTTAGAGACGGTAGCAATAGAAGACTGACAGAAGACAGGAGGCAAAGCTGGAGGTGGAGGTGGCAGAGTTAAAGATGCTAAGATTCTCTTTAGGAGTGACAAGAATGGACAGGATCAGGAATGAGGTCATTAGAGGGACAACACAGACAGGAAGGTTTGGAGAAAAAGCTAGAGAAGCCAGATTGAGATGGTTTGGACATGTGCAGAGGAGGGACAGTGGATACATTGGTAGAAGAATGTTAGAGATGGAGCTACCAGGTAGGAGACAAAGAGGAGATATATGGATGCAGTGAGGGAGGACATGCAGATAGTTGGAGTCAGAGAAGAAGATACAGAGAACAGGGAGAGATGGAACTCAATGATTCGCTGTGGCAACCCCTGAAAAAGGGACAAAGCCGAAAGAAAAAGAAGAAGATTCCCACATGAGGACAAATATTTGTTTTGTACGTCATGTGTGCACATGTTTGTGTGAAAGTGAGTAAAAGCAATATTTGAAATGTTAACTGCTTAGACAATACGCGGCATGTATCATGGATACTGAATAGTGTGTACGTCATGCTATCACAATTGGTCTCATGTTTGTAACATAATATTTCGACCTAATGGTCACTCATAAAGCAAATGAGTCACCGGTTATCATGTTTGTAAGCATGTGAAATTGAGTGCGCATACAACACACACACACACACACACACACACACCCGCTTGACATTTACCGTCTATGCACTGGTAAAGGTCAACTGATTTTCAATTCTGAAAACAAATACATGTTTTGTCTGTGCAGGGCTCACCACTTAGAACCAGATGCAAGCGAAGCAAAAGTAGAAAGGAAAGAACAAATGGG